AGGAAGGGCCTCATTTGTAATCGACTACAAATACTAGTGGATTCGTTCAAACTGGGCTAGGCCCCGTGGTTTTTCCCCCTTTTACAGGGGTTTTCCACGTAAAATCTTGGTGTCTCATAAATGCTAGACCCTCTCTCCTTATCTGATTGCGTGCCGGATTTTCGTACAATGCTAAGACGATAAACTTTATATTTCTCTACCGCCGCGAATACTCCTGGACACAACAATTATTATTATTAATTAATTAATAATTTTATTCAAAAGAACTATTTTTTTAATTTGTAATTACTTTTCATTTAAACCTCTTCCTCTATTAAATAACGGGAATAAAAAAAAGACAGGTTCGCATTCTCTAGCGGATTCTTACCTATGAACTCTTCCTATACTTAGCATTTCTTCTTCCCCAATTTGCGGCATCTTTGTTCTGGCTTATCTTCTCCAATTCTTTAGGCTTTTCAACAAAGAAAAGTCCTATATGGGGTCCTGATTGGGTACCCTTTGAGCACCCATGCTTTACTCGGACGGGCTTGGCCCACCGACGCTCACCCATCGTAACTTTTGGGATGTCGTACCCACCTATACCCACTCACTTTCCATGCTTTTTGAACTCATTATGCCACATATTGAGGCTTATTGCCCTTCGCTCTGATTACAAACTTTCAAGCCGCATATCAGAATTTAATATAGTTGCAGCATGGTTAAGTGTTGCACACTACATAGTGAGGATTGCAATAATATAAGATATACGGTGATTAGCAATATAAATCAATTTATCCTCCGATATTGAGTACCCACCTACAAGGCCATGGGTGTACCCATACCCACTTATACTCATTGGGTATGGGTGGGTACATGAGTGGGTGTGGATATGGGCAACAGGGCTCTGCAACAAAGCCCTACATGGAGTCATGGTTGGGTACCCACGCTCTGTGTGGGCGGGCTTCACCCACTCATGCCCACCCATGGTGACTTTTGTGATGCCGTACCCATCAACTTTTCATGCTTTTTGAATGCAATCTGCCACGATTGATGGCATTGAGGCTTGTTACCCTTTGCTTTTACTGCAAACTTTTAAGCCGCATATCAAAATTTATTGTGGCCACAACGCAACTAAGTGTTGCGTGTTGCATAGTGAGGATTATGCTAATATACATCATACGGTGATTAGCAATGTAAATCATTTTATCTCTAGATGTTATCCACCCATACTCACCCATGAGGCCATGGGCGTACCCATTAGATATAGGTGAGTATGTGGGTGGATGTGGATATGGGTACCCATTGTAGGGCTCTGCTTTTTAACTTACAAAAAGTGTTCTTCTTCCATCTTGAAATCTCGGTTTTGGTGTCTAGCACTAGGGGTGTAAGTGAGTTAAGTCGACTCGTGAGCGGAACTCGATGAGCTAATGAGCCAAATTTGAGCCAGCCTCAACTCGACTCGTTAGCTCATAAGCTGACTCATTTAAAAAATATTAATATAGAGTATACTTAAAATATATTAGGTTGTAGGATTTTAAATATAAATTTATTAAACATGTTTAAGAATCATATATCACTTTCTCATAGTAAGCGATTATTTATTATTTTTCTTATAATTTTTTATTCTTTTTATCATTTTATTATAATATTTGTTTAAATAATTTTTCTCATTATAACATACTTTTGCGAGTTGAGAAATTCACGGCGATAGAATGGAACTTTTATTTGGTTTGGTGACCTGACATAGCTCTACGTTCGGATGCCAGTAAAATAGTGCCACGTGTTTTTGCTTTTTACCGCGCGGCCCGTCAACCCAACCCGGAACGACCCCGGGATTGCTATGTTCACGTATTGCTAGGTATTGGTCGATTTTGCTCGGCAATAATGAGAAATACCATTATGTGAAGACCAATACCGAGTTTTGCTAAAAACTCGGTATTGCTCGGTATTACTCGGTATAGCTAGGTATTGGTCGATTTTGCTCGGCAATAACGAGAAATACCATTATGTGAAGACCAATACCGAGCAATACGGAGTTTTGCTAAAAACTCGGTATTGGTCTTCACAGAACGGTATTTCTCGTTATTGCCAAGCAATACCTAGCAATACCGAGCAATACCTAGCAATACCGAGCAATACGCGAGCATACCAATCCTGGGTTCTGGTCTGGGTCGGGTCATCCGGCCGCGTGGTAAGGAGCGAGAACACGTGGCGACATATTATTGGCGTCCGAACGTAGAGCTACGTCAGGTCACCTGACCTAATAATTGTTCGATAGAATGAGAGTAATTCAGGTCTTAACAATGCACGCAAATACAACACAAAAACAAATGAAAGATAAAACACCAATATTTTTATGTAGAAAGCCCTAAAGAAGGGAAAAACCACATAGCGTTACCCAATTGAAATAGTTCCACTAGAATTGATTTGAACAAATTACAAAAGTCAATCTATCCTCCAATGGCTAGTACAATGTATTGAAAAGTTTTTACTAATCTTTAGATAGGCACTCTTGATATCAATTTTTTGTAATAGTAGAGAAGAATTTTGACGGTGGTCAGGAGGAGTTGTGATAGTGATCTAGTAGAACTTCAACGATGGACGAGAAAAGCTCCGGTGGTGGTCGAAATCAACGGTGGTCAGGAAGTCTCAGCAACTTTAGATATGATGTTAAAATCTCGTCCAACCATCTAGGGGCCTTTATAGCAGCCATTAAAATTGACCATTTTCTGGCCTTTATAACAAAAACATTGTAACAATAAAAATTGCAGTGAAGAACTTGATCAAAATTATAAATAATGGATAAATTAGTATGATTCTTTCAAAAAAACTTAAATCTTATCATTAGAGTTAGCAAATGAAGAATCAAAACCAAATTGTTTTTGGTAAATAGAAATTTTAGCAGAGTCAGTCATAGGCTCAAGTAGAGCTAAGCAAGAGATATGAATCCTGCATAAATTACGAGTACGAGAATGAGTTTCGAGTTTACCCAAACCCCTCACATTCCAATATAGATCTTGGAGTGTTTCAAGAAGATCTTCGGTGGTGGTTGAAGGTAAAATCTTCTTCACCCTTCTCCCTTTCTTTTTTCTTTTCCCTCTCCCTTGTGTCAAGGATGGGGATCTATTTATAGTGCTTTGGGAGTTGTATGGCTTATAAATATAGGGTCAAGTTGGGAGTGTTTTGAATGGATGGCCGATATCGACTCATTTGATCATAGATCTTTGATCGAGCATCTAAGCGCTTTAATGATGTCAGAATTTGATGATCTTTAGCTCGTTGAGCAACTCAATTAGACTATAAGCATGTCATATTTTACAATCATTTAATCATCCAATAAATACTTTGAAGCCTCGAAGTATTCTTTGTACTCTTGATTTGGGCTCATTTGGGCTTGGGTTGAACTAATTTTGGTGTTGTTTGGTTCATCTCTTCGAGATGTTCAATTTGATTATAAGTTTATTGAAATCAGAGCTCAAATGATTTCTATTCTTATTTTTGAAGTTTCTTGCATGGACATGCCTTGAGATTCATGTCTGATCAAGCCAATTTTTTTGTGATATATCAGAGCCGGCTCTTGCACTCGCAGAATAAAGCTCGAGCTTGGGCTTGAACTCGATTAATTAATCAAGCTCAAGCTTAAGTCAAGGGTGACTCAAGCTCGGCTTAACTAGTTTACACCCTTATCTGATACCCTTCGCAGACCCTAAACATCTAACAATGTCTCGATTTCGCAATCAATTTGCATTTCGGAGAAGATGAAGAAGTGCATAAGGAGATCATTCATCCGAAGTGAAATAGACTTCGACAGCTATAAATTGCCCTATAATTCTACAATTCTTATGTCAATATCTTTTGAAATCGTTAGAAGCCGATAGACTAAAGTTTGCAGCCCATCTGAAGTGAAATCGGCATATTCGACTCATGAGATATTTTTTTATTCTTCTATATTTAGCCCAAGAGATGTTTGATAAAAAAAAAAATTGTTCATTTCAAATGCTTATTCTTTTGTTATTTTGTGCTCGTAGTTCTTGTGTCTTGTGCATAAAATCAGTGAAAAATTATGAAAATTAGACCAACGATGAAGCGTGCCACACCTTCAGCACCGTAGCAAAGAGCTTACCAAAAATTTGCTTGAGATCTTAGCGTCGAAGCGCTATCCAATAGCGTCGCAACGCCTGATTGAAGCGCCACAGTCCCAATTCGCCTAATGTCGCAGCAAGAGTCAATTTGAATAGTGAACCGAAGCGACTATTGGCGAACCGACGCACTGGTTTAACAGCATTGCTGTGCTCATTCAGAAAAAATGAAAAACTATCAATAGTAATATTATTCTTTGGGTAGAGAGGTTGGCAAATTGTGAATTCATTTAGTGTATGTGCGAGTGTGAGAGCCGTATAGGAGAGTATAGCTTGTGTTCTTATATCTTGAGTCTTTGTATTGGAGAACAGCAAAGCAAAGGAGTGAGCAAAAGATTGCAGTAAACTAAAAACTGAATTTTAAGTAAACTGAAAACTGAGAACTTTCATTTCAATCATCTTACAGCTACAGTGTAGTGTTCTAAACAGAGGAGAAGAGGGAATGGTAGAGAAAGCTCTGAACTGTAACAAGCCTACGGCTGTAATTAATGGTTGAATGGGAATAAAGGGAATTGGGGAATGTGAGCAAATACAGAAATATGGCAATGTTCTTGGTGAATGCCTCAAGCTCAAGCTGAGGAGTCAATAAGATCATTACCTTGTTTCTAAGAAGATTGAATCTTGATATTATTTTAGGTGATATTAGCGATCTAATCCTGGTGAAATTATTTTGTGCAGATACGGATGTCGTTCAGAAATGAATCAGAATCCGCGGCATCACTTAGTTGTTGTGTATCACGATTGTGTACCGCTATGTAAAGGATGAAGTGGCTGCTTAGGGGCCCATGTACGTGTTGATCCACACAATACACAACAAATATTATATTTGGTCATGTAATAGCAAAGATCTTGTGAGGAAATAACAAGAGAACAATATAATTCTTCTAGATCATAAAACTCAACAACATGTTGGTCAGTGTAGGACTCTTTAACAGCAACTGGATTTTGAATAGCTTGCAATGAAGCATACTTGCACAGGAGAGTATCTAATGCATGCTTTGTTTGATTATCGTTTCCTTTGGAACAACTTTCTTACTATTTTTTAAAATAATTTTTTCATACAAAGAAATAATTTTAAAAAATAATAAGAATGCTGTCTCAAATGAAACCCAAGTAAAAATCATTTGGTGTTTGTTGTATAGTAATGCCCAAAAACTAAGCAATAGAGGCCAAATTGTGAATTCCGAAGTGAAGTTGAAGGTTCTGTAGCAATTTGCTGCCGATATCCATATTGTTGCTAGCTAGTTAGAATTATATCTGATACGGCATCACAAAATTAGCTAGTTGGAAACTTCAAAATCTAGTTGGATACTCCAAAAATTAATTCCGGTAGAACCCGAACTCCGATTTCAGCGAGCTTATAGTCAAACTGAGCATCTCGGAAATACGAACCCAACGACCCCAAGATCAACCCAATCCGAGCCCAAATGAGTCCGAATCAAGGACCCAAAGCGCTGTTGGAAGGTTCAAACCGCAATTTGAGTTACCAAACAGTCTTCGATTTTTACGAGCTTATACTTGAATCGAACGGCTCGACGAGACGAATCCAACGAGCCCAAGATCGCCGAATTCCGACATCATTAAGGCCTCCAAATGTCAAACGAACGGTGCACGATCGTAGGATTCAATCTCGGAAGATCGGGCCCTTTTCAATCTTACGGAAGATTAACGATAATGCTTATGTTATCGATTTACCTGCCCATATTCAAACTTCTTCCACTTTCAATGTAGCAGATATCCATGAATATCATCCTCCAGATGACGCCGATACTACCTTAACATCGGCCGGGAGCACCTCCTCTGAAGGCGGGGAGGACTGATGGGACTATCCTACTCTGCAAGACACCACATGCCAACACACTCCACTACTACAGTATTTTTACACTTTCTGTTTTTACTTTCTGTTAGTGAACGTTCTCTCATTTCCCTTTTTCCTTATTTAGAATAGGCAAGAAATTAGCCAAAGGAAAATAGACTATATGATGCCAAAGTATTGGTGATAGAAGCAGAAGGAATATACTACCGAAATTACTCCATTACTGTTCTATTGGTTTTGTTCTCTGTTCTTAACCCTTTTGCAGGTTCCCTCGCCGGTATTCTCCTCCGTCGAAGTCCTCGCTCCGGCTTCAATCTCGGAAGGGTACGTCAATCACCCTCTTAATTTTCCCTCCTTAACCGCCCCTCTCTCCCACCTAATTAAGGGAAATTTTAAGAGCAAATAACTTCTCCTTCCCCACCCAAAATCTGAAATTTAACTTCAGATTTTCCCTCCAATCCTCTCCATAGCTCACGGCCCAAATCCCTTCTCTTGTCTCCTTCCCTCCCTTCTTCAATGTCGAATGGCGGATCCGGAGCTTGAATGGGGATTAGTATTCCACGCCGACTGGGGCATTGATATCCTACGTTCTCCTTGCTTTGACGTAGGATTTGAAGACGACACCACAATCGAAGAGTACTTGGAGCGAGTCGTCCCGATTCTCACAAGTATCTTCGACCGACAATTTCGTGGCTACACTTGGACGATCATCGGACGCCATCCGCCACCACCTTCCCCGGCGAATACCTCTCCGGTAACAAAGTCTTTCGTCGCCTTTTCCGTAGTGGTGCTCCTCATCTTCGCATGGTTCTTTCTTCTCCGCTAAAGCCCAAGAGTGAACGAGAGAGAGAGGGTACTCAAGGTGAAATTCTTCATTATTAATTGTGGGATTTTTGTTATGAGCAATTAAGTAGATCTTTTATTTTGGGAGTGTTATGAATTGTTTGGTTATCTCAAAGCAAATCTTCGCCTAAGCAAGTTAATTACCTAGAATGATTTAATCCTTTATTTTATTGGTAATAAAATTTGTTTTGACAACGCTTTGAATAACTTTCATGTTATTTTCCAAATGCAATTCCTACATTGATTCACATCATATATATATATATATATTACCGTTGGTGAGCCCCTTTTTTCATTTTTTGCTTGGTGGCTTAGTGGCGATCTCTTGATCTATCGGGTTTGTTGTGTGATAGAAAAGTCCCCCACAAATTTAAGGGAAAATTCTATAAAATGGTGGTGAGACCTACAATGCTTTATGGTGCCAAATGTTGGCCATTAAAAAAGAAGCATAAAACTAAGTTAAGTGTTGCAGAGATGAAGATGCTTAGGTGGATGAGTGGTTTTTCCTTAGAGATAGGCTATGAAATGAGCATATACGTGAAAAGGTTGGAGTAGCTCAAGTGGAAGATAAGATTAGAGAGAGTCACCTTAGATGATTTGGTCACATAAAACGGCAGTCTTCCGATGACTCAATTAGGATAGTAGAGGTATTAGATTTGACTTATGTTAAGAAAGGTAAATGTAGACCTAAAAAGACTTGGCTATAAAAATATTATAAATGATCTTTCTTTATTAGATTTAAACGAGAATTTAACTTTTAATAGGTCACAATGGAGAAAAAGGATTTATGTAGTCGACCACATATAGTGGAACAAAGGCTTGATGTTGTTGTTGTTTGTTGGCTTTCTCTCAATCACCTACCCTAAAATCATATGCGTACAAATGCTTTAGAATTCAGGAACAACAACTGAAAATCTACGAGGACCAATCTACAGCATCCAAATCGGCACTTGGCGAAGTGGCATACAAGCCTTATGCATGCTCTTTATATTCCCTGCCACCTTGGATCAGCTAGTTGAATACTTGAATCATCTATGCTTATATTAGCAGGCAAAGGCATATTCTTGCATCGGCGCCCTAACTAGCAGTATCAGGTACAGCACCAAAAACAAAAGACTAATCTAAAATTTTAGTTTTTTTAGATATAAATCCCTACCTCCAACAATCCACCTGGCCCAGCTAACAGACGCGCACATACTAGACCTGTAGTTGCCAAGGAGAAAAAGAGATCCGGAGAAGGTCACGCAATTTGTGTTGCTGAGAAGTTTGAGGAAAGAATTATGATTGGCAATGGGGACAAAGGTCATTGGCAAAAAGTTATCTTTAAAAAATTCCCTTCTACTGTTTTCTTTGTAATTTACTTGGTCATAAGTTGTCCTCATTTAGGAATGCTACTCTGCTAAAAATGGCGTCCCCTCTGTTGCCGGTGAACCCTAATGAGCCTATTCATTTCCATAGATGCAGAGCAATGTTTTGGTTATAGGTGCCAACTCCAAGGATCAACCATAGCATCATGAGGCTATTAACCTCGTTGGCCTGATTCAAGTAAATACTTTGGCTCAAATTTCTTCTCCTGAATGGTTTTGAAGCAACCACTATTATCACTTATAGTTTCACTCCTCCCTCTTTTAAAGGACAACATCTTAATCGGATTCTAATGATAGCTCCTCATAATACCAATCATCAAACTAGAGTTGCTAATTGCCCCTTCCCTCAGATAAAGAATACCCAGCCCAAAGATAATCCCTAAGCTGTTAAAACTGCTAATTCCAATTTGATCAAATTAGATGATGATGTTCCACTTCAAAATTATGAATTCTCCATTGCTCCTTCCAAACTAAATGGTATTAGTGAAAACACACAACAACAACAACAACAACAACAACAATAACAACAACATCAAGCCTTTGTCCCACTACGTGGGGTCGGCGATATGAATCCTTTTTTTCCATTGTGTCCTGTTAAAAGTCAAATTCTTGTTTAAATCTAATAAAGAAAGATCATTTCTAATATATTCTAACCAAGTCTTTTTAGGTCTACCTCTACCTTTCTTAACATAAGTCAAATCTAATACATCTACTTTCCTAACCGGGTCATCAGAAGGTCGCCGTTATGTGACCAAACCATCTAAGGCGACTCTCTATAATCTTATCTTCCACTGGGACTACTCCACCCTTTTCACGTATTGGTGAAAACACGCGGTACTTCAAATATGTGTGATAAACTAGATCATCTTTTATGATTATCCTAAGTGGGAACAGATTTTGATTACATTCATTTTTCTCCCATCTATTTTGACTATTATGATTTCTCATGTTAGCATCATATACCTTTACTTATTATTTCTAGGTCTTATGTCCATCCGGCATCTTTCGTTTTCATTTTGTAATTTTCATTTGATATGTTTAAGTGAAATTTCTTCTTTGTTCCTTTTAAAAAATAAAAATAAAAAAGCTCATAAACTCACATTACACTATGGTAAGTTAGCCTGGAAACCATCCATCCTTTATAGACAACATGTCTTTATTGTCAACATTTAACTTTAAGAAAACATTTGAAAGTCAAAATCAAGTTGAAATGGCTCAAACTCAACTCTTAAACTTACTCACTCTTGGCCAAACAAGAATAGAGATGAAAAATATTCGGCCTGAGTTGAACTGGTCCAGCTCAAATTTGTCTTAAACCATTCAATCTGATCTTAAGCTGAGCTAAAGCCTCTTCAAGGTTACTCGACTCAAGTCCAGCTAAACTAGTTGACTTTGATTCTAACTAAATTTAAACCAAAAATCAATTCTATTTTTATAAACTTTCAATCTTCTAAAATACACAAATAAATATATATAAATCCATATTTACATGCATGCAAATGTTGAAAGCTGGCCAAAGTTTTAAGGGGCAGAAATCAAATGAGCAATTACTGATAACTGATAAGAAATCACTTATCCCTTCTGATTAATATAGAACGATTCGAAAACAAATAATACCATATAAGCTCGTGCAAATTTATATAAGGAATTCGCTAACATCGAATAAAACAGGTAAACGACTCGGCGATCCTCAATTTACCTCAGCGGCCGCTGCCCCAACTACGAGACGTCGCTCCCGTTCGACGCCATCGCAGCCGTTCACATAAGCATAAAGTTGATAAGGGGCGGCGTCGCTAGCTAGCCACTGCTGGACGTAGAACAGGGTCTGGGAGCAAGGCAAGTGCGGCCCGGTGGCGGTGACCTCAACCGAATCGCAGTACCAGCCGTGGTGAGCGCCGGCACCGTCGGAGGTGAGGTTGAGGCTACAGATCGGACCGCGGAGGCCGCAGGTGGCGCGACCGCTGAAAACATCCAGGGAGGTTCGCTCGAAGTAGTTGTGTTGGGGACCCATGAGGCCGCCCCAGGAGACGAGATCTGGGATGTGGAATTGGTTGGCGGAGGAGTCAGCGAGAGTGAGGGAGATACTGGCATCGGTGCCGGATTTGATAATGGAGCCGGTGCGGACATAGATGCTGTACACGCATTCTTGCTTCTCGTCATTCTTGTTCTTCGTTGTGGAAGCAGCGGCCACAAAGAAGAGGAGAAAAAGAATGGAAAAGGGGAGGGGAGACATTTTTTCGATCGTTCTCTTTAGGGTCATCACCACATCAGAATAAAAATGGAGAGAGAGAGAGAGAGAGAGATCGTGTCTTTACAGAAATTAACTACAAATCTTTACACATTTATATCATTTGCTCATATTTTTACATGATTTAAAACTAAAAACATTTGACCCAACCTTTTAAATAATTTATGTCAAATTAAAAAAATAAAACAGATTAAAAAAACATTATTAACAATATATTCTAATTTAATTTTATAATCCTTAAATATGAGCATTATTGAATGCATGATTTCAAAAAATTCTATATTGTAATCCATTTAAGTCATCAAAATTTTCATCAATAAAAATCTAATTATATGAGAAAATAGTGACAATTTTAAAATATAAAAAGTTTAATGTATTAAAAATTTTTATCGATGAAATATAAAAATAAAATTATATTTTTAAAATTAACCTTTATATTTATTTTTATTATCATTGAATAACTCACAAAGTTATCTTTAGCTTGAAAATTATACAAAATAATAAATATAAAAACAATAGGAATATATACAGACCAATTTTCTACAGAACATGTTCTCGTTTGAGCAATATTACATATAATAAAATAGAAAACAGAAATTTAGGCTTCATTTGAAAGGGCTTTTTTGTTGCTTTTTGAAACAATTTTTTAGTATAAATTTACTTTAAAAAAAAAAAAAAAAGTTATCACAAACGAAATCTTAATATTAGAAGACAAATGAAGAAGTTTATCTATATGATCATCTGCAGCGGGTATTAACTGTGATGAAAGCAGTTCACATGTACAAGTAATTTAGGTCTCGTTTGAGATGACTTTCTTACTACTTAAAACAGCTTTCTAGTTCAAAAATTAAAATTCTAATACTAAAAAGCTGCTTTAAAAAACAGTAAGATAACCGTCCCAAACGAAGTCTTAGGTTTCATTTGGGACGGCTTTTTTATTGCTTTCTAAAACAGAGTTTTAGTACAAAATTTAAAAAAATTGTACTAAAACTCCGTTTTAAAAAGCAATAAAAAAGCCGTCCCAAACGAAATCTTAGTCTTTGAGATCAGCAAAAAGGTCTGAGTGAGAGAGAGAGAGAGAGAGTACATAATAGCTATAATATTTACAAAGAATACAAGTTGTGAGTGGGATTCAAAAGCAACAACAAATCACACCATTCTGAATGGAGGTGGCTGTGTTCTTATTGCCTTAGCTTCTGCAGGAGGACCTACCCACTGCATCTGCTCCAAGATTTAGAAAAACAAAACAAAATGCATTATCATTAGAACAAACCTAAAAGAGAAGCAATGTTGAACCAAATACGCCAAAGATCAAATCTATTATAAGCACAGTGATTTGGTATTTCTATGTCAACATTTTTTCATTCATCCAATGTAGAACAAAACTAACGCTATCATATGCCTTAACACACAAAAATTGCAATAAAATTTTCAGCATATTTTCTCCAAAGAGAAAGGCCAGTTGTTTTTATCCAAAAAAATATATATTAACATTAATTTGTAATGATCTTAAAGAGAAAATTTATAATTTAATGTTGCAATGGCCAGGTCTGCGTTAGGTAGTTAACAACCAGCATAAAACTTGTCGAAAAATTATGATATTAATCATTTAATACATTGTATTAATGTTAGGAGTTAGGACATTCCTTAGAAGCGACACATTGTATGGCCTGAATATAGTGAGAATTATGCAAGGGCCGTTGCACTAGTGCCCGAGTTCAGTGTTAAATAGTCAAGGGTTCTCTCACATCATGGATGGATGTGAACAAAGAAGCTAGTCCATGAAATTAAATTTAGGATAGAAACTTGGAATACATGTTCCCTTACAGATAAATTAATGGAATTAATAGGCATTATGATTCATAGAAAAATAAATATTCTATGCATTCAAGAAACTAAATGCGTTGGAGAGAATGTTAAGGAGATTGATAGTTTAAGATTTAAATTATGATATTCTGATAGGAGCCATATCATAAATGGTATATGTGTGATTATAGATAAGAGTTTAAAAGATAATATTGTAAGGATTAATAAAAATTAGATATATAATTATAATATTATAGATTGTTGTTAATGCTAAGATTATTAATATTATAAGTTATTATGCTCCTCAAGTAGGTTTGCATGTGTTCAAAATTAAAATTTTAGAATGATTTACAATAATTAATACAAAAGATGCATCTTGAAAAAAGAGTTTTTATTGAAAAATATTTAAATGAACGTATTGGTAGAGAGGTAGATGATTTTAAAAGCATTCATAATAGCTATGGGTTTGGAGTGACTAATAAATATGCTAAGACTATATTACATTGTGCTCTAGCTTATGATTTTATAATTGTTAATATCTTATTCAAGAAAAGAGATGAGAATCTCGTCACTTATAAGAATGTATATAATAAAACTCAAATTGATTATTTCTTATATAAAAATAGATTATTTAGATTGCAAAGATTGTAAAATTATTCATAGTAAAATTTTATGTATCTAATATCGCTTATTGATTTTAGAGTTTAAGATGAATGGGTATAATATGAAAAATAAAATCAAATAATATTTTAGGATTAGATGTAGGCATCTAAAGAACACTAAAAAAAATATTTTTGAGAATAAAATTCTAGATCTTAAGATTTTTTTTTTGTGCATGAGGAACCCAATTTAATGTGAAAAAAATTAGTTAATGATATTAAAAATGTTGCAAAGAATGTGCTTGGAATATAAAAAAAGCTACTGATAATAAAAAAAAATTTAATGGTGAAATCAAAATATATAAGAAAAGATAAAAATTTAAAAACTTTATTATAAAAATTAATTTAGAAGTAAAGATTTTAAAAATCCGAAAAGATATAAAGAGGTCCGTAATGAGTCTAAGAAAGCAATATGAGATACAAATATTTTAGTTTTTAATAATTTATATAATAAATTAGATAATAAGGAAGACGAAAGATATATGTATGAGTTAGCCAAACAAAGAGATAAAAATTGTAAGTATTTAGCGCAAGTGAAGTGCATTAAGGATGAAGATAAAAAATTACTTTTATTAGAAGAGAATATTCAACAAAAGTGGATGAGATATTTTGCTACGTTTTCAATGAAGATTATGAGAATACGATTAACTTTAGTGACCTTAGCATCCTAAATGAAAATATAGATTTTTGTTTTTATCCGCGTATTAATAAAATCAAAGTTAGAGAGACTTTAATGAAAATGAAGAATGAAAAAGTTGTTAGACTTGATGATATTCCAATAGAGGTGTTGAAATGCCTAGGAGATGAAGGAATTGTTTGGCTTACTAAACTTTTTTAAATTATTATGAAGACTAAAAAGATGTCAGATGAGTGGATGATGAGTGTGTTGATTTTTTTTTAAGAATAAGATGCACAAAATTGTGTGAATTACCGAGAGATTAAGTTAATGTGTCATACTTTAAAATTATGGGAGAGAGAGTTATGGAGCATAGGTTACGACGTGATATTAATGTTTCTCAAAATCAATTTGGATTTAGGCTAGGTATGTCTACTATAAAAGTTATACATTTGTTGAGAGGTTTGATGGAGAAATATAGAGAGAATAAGGCGAATCTATATATGATATTTATTGATTTAGAAAAAGTATATGATAAAGTTTCAAGAGAAGTGCTGTGGAGAGTTATAGAAAAGAAAAGGGTTAATAATGTTTATATTGAAGTCATTAAGAATATGTATGCAGGAGTTGTTATTTGTGTTCGAACACAAGGTAGTTTGACCAAGTATTTTTTCTATTTCAATTGAATTGCATCAAGGATCAACCTTAAGCCCATATCATTTTGCTTTAGTCATGGATGTTCTTAAGCTAGGCATTTGCAAGAGAATGTACCTTAGTGTATGTTTTTTGCTGATGACATTCTTCTTGTTGATAAGATTAGAAAGAGACTTAAATGTAAACTTGAATTATGGAGGTCAACCTTAGAGTCTAAAGGTTTTCATTTAAGTCGATTTAAAACCAAATACATAGTGTAAATTTAGTAATGATAGATCTAGTGGGGGAATTGTGACTTTGGTCGATCAAGTCACTAGTAAGAGTACACGTTTTAGATATCTTGAGTCTATTCTTCAGATTGATGGTGAAATAGATGGAGATATTATTAGTAAAATTCAAATTGGATGGTTGAAGTGGAGGAATGCATCAGTTTTGTTATGTGATAGAAAAATACCCCTTAAACTAAAGGAAAAATTCTATAAGATGGTGTTGAGACTTGTAATGCTTTATAGCACAGAATGTTGGTTATTAAAAGAGAAGCATAATATTAAGTTAAGTGTTAAAGAGATGAGGATGCTCAGGTGGATGAGAGGCTTTACTCTTAGAGACTAGATACGAAACAAGCATATGCATGAAAAGGCTGGAACAGCTCCAGTGTCAGATACGATTAGAGAGAGTCATCTTAGAGTCACATAAAATGGCAGCCTTCCGATGACCCGGTTAGGATAGTATATGTATTAGATTTGACTTATGTTATAAAAGGTAGATGTAAACCTTAAAATATTTAATTAGAAAATATTAGAAATGAACTTTTTTTATTAGATTTAAATGAGAATTTGATTTTTAATATGACATAATAAAGAAAAAGAATTCGTATAGCCGACCCCATATAGTAGGATAAAGGCTTGTTGTTGTGGTCGTTGTTGTACTATTTAAGATACTTTATGACATAATAAAGAAAAAGAATTCGTATAGCCGACCCCATATAGTAGGATAAAGGCTTGTTGTTGTGGTCGTTGTTGTAGTATTTAAGATACTTTTATTCACCAATCGTAAAGTTAGAATATATTATTCTATTAATGATTGCATTAACCAATACAATAGCCAAAATAAAATTACGTGATATTACATGTGCCTTGAAATACCTGTATTCAGTGGCTAGTACTTCCAAGATCAAAGTCCATGGTGTAATCATACTCAATGGTTGGAATTACTGAGGCCATGAACTTCAGAAACAGGAAAAGGTACCTGGGGGCATAAATTAAACAGAAGATAATAAAAAAAATAGTTTCCTTGCAAAATTATCACAATTAGTTCAATATAAACAGAACTTAAGAGCCAAGCTAATTTTGGGAAAATTACAACATTGAAAGTAAATAGGCGTCCACTAGAATTGGAAGTTCGAGAATGATAAAGAAAGGAATTACTTATCAACTTCTGGTTCCACTCCACGTGACATGAGTACATCAATAATCTTTTTCATCACAGCTCCATGTCGACATGGATGTACAGATGCATGCTTCCCCGCCAAATGTGGATGATCCTCAATGGTCACCTGCAGTTTTGCATTCAGTTATTTGGGGTAAAATCTATTACAGTAATCTTAGAAAAATACGGGATAGATATTAAACAGGTATTGATGAGTATGTGTAAAATACAAATTTTATTTTAGAAATCTAAAAGAAAAATATGAATTATTTAATCATAATAATAATTATTTTTTTATTTTACTTACACAAATCAAACTGGACAAAAATTGAGTACTTCCCAATTATATTGAATTATAATACATAAAGTATTTGCATTATAAATTTGAAGGTTAAAATGATGGGAAGTACTTGAGTTCGTAAGTAACCCTAAGGTAATACTTAAGTTCGCAAGTAAACCTAATCGAAATTAGTGAGAAAACAGAACGCAAACTGCTGTTTACAGCAGAAAATCGGCACTTCGCAGCAGATTTCTTGGGAAAAACAATAGAAAACTGAGAGAAAACGAAGGATTTCACTAGTAGAAGCTGGAAAAACAGCAAAGATACACGTTTCTTCAATTCGAGAGGAAGAAACAACTCTCCGATTCTCTAGCCAAGCCTAGAGCCCAAGAACACAAACCCTAGATCTCAAATCATTTTCAAATTCAAGATGCAAATCTAATTCTAACATTAACCCTTAATTAAAGACAGGAGAATTACAAATTCCCTAAACAGCCCCTAATTCAAATTTTTCCCTCCAAACAAGTATTACTCAAGGTGTGGGGCCCAAAGGAGTGGACGGCCCCCCTCTCTCTCCTTGCTTGGGCCGGCAGTGATAAACCCAAACCGGTCCACTAGGGACCCGTTCAAGCAAAGCAGCCGGGGTAACATAAAATTATATGTTTTTAGTACTTTTTGAAAGATACGAAAAACAAAGTTTCTTTTTGAATAATTCATATATACAGATATTATACGGGTATTGCATACAAATTCGTTAACTAAGACATTAACAAAATGTTAGTTTAGAGTTAATTAAAAGAATAAGAAACCATGATCTCAAGCCAAATGCCAGGGCCAATATTTATTGCAGGAAATTTGAAGGAATCACCGTTTTGTGTGCATGGTCCTGACTAACATCTTCAAGTACAAGCTCTGGTTTCAAAGGTACTCTTGACTGCAGAAAATACATAGGAATAGTTAACAATGTTTTCATCAACTTCTTTAGTAGCAGCTGCACAAATCAAATAAGCTGTACAGGCAAAACATCATTTAACCTAACAGGCAGCACATTCCATCTAAAACAAAACCCGATAAGTAGTGTGAAACCAAGAGGTGTAATTTATAACTACATTCACTTCTTCCAACTCAACTGGAGTGAAAAGAAGAAATTGAAAATGAATTAGCCATAATCGAATGTAAAAATGGTTCCCCTTGTTTCACAAAGCTGCATATGGGTCACCTTAAAAATATGTTTCAATAATAATGTGGAATCATGTTGCAACTTAAATGATAATACTTCTCAAGCTATTGTTGGTATAACAATGAATTCTACAACTACAGGATTTGGTGCAACGATCATTGCAGATTAATCGCCAATCTTTTTTGAGCGATTAATTTAATCCCAAATTACAAGTAAAGAATTCAGAATGTACATCTGCATAAATATATGTTTCAAGAGACATTCTTCCCACGAATTTATAGACTAAACCTCTTTTAATGACTAGCGCATGCTTAGTGTCTGTAATAGCCCCTTTTTTATGGGAGCAATAAGGTGAGATCAAGTGACCAAGAAGTAGAAAACTAACTCAAATAATCAGTCGAACAAGCAATAAGAAAATGTAGATGTTTATAAAAGTTTGCAGAAGAAAGAAAATCATGGTAACTGTAAAACGACCTCATCATATCCGGTAAGCCAAACACGAGGAGTTTGGTAATATTTATCATACCTGCAGCATTTAAAGGCTAAACATATTCAGACACACAACAAACTTATGAACATAAACGTTAAAGAAATAACAGAAAACACAATGAACAAAAGCAGATAAAGATGTCACTACAACTAATTTTCAGTAGAAATAAAAAAATTAAAAAGAAAATTGGAAATGCTTTTACTCTTACATCCTATTTAACATTACTAGAAACTAAAACTTAAAAAATATCCAAAATAATGCCCCTTTAAACCGAGTAGTTTCTAAACTCACGCAATGATTTTGGACAAGGAGACTCTATTGAAACAGAATAACACAAAAAATCATCATTACCATCAACATCATCATAAAAAATAACTCAGAATTTCTTGATAACTTTACATATCTTCAAAAATTGGATTTAGCATGCCCAGCTAAAAAGATTATATCAGGATATGCTGATCAAAATTTTGGTCAGAATGAGCATTAAAGCCTTACATATGCTTAAGGATTAGTGCAATCTATATGTGATTAATATTACACAAATCTCAAAATAGATCTAAGAGCTTTGAATCCCCTCCAGACCACTTTTTTCTCAGGATATTCTAACATAAAAATTTTACCAAGCCTATAATCGTCAAAGACTAGATACTTCATCAATGGGATTGTAATGGTGTATGATACTCATCAACGATTTAGGATACCCTCTCGTAAACCCCATTTAACATACAATTAAACATGTCTTAAAAGATGAATGTGTCGGGCATGCCAAATGCTATATATCAAATTTGAAAAGTTTGAAGGGAAAAGCTAGTCTTTCCACAACATTTTACTACCCATTAAATTTAATAATTTTCTATGCATGTAGCTGCAAACTATAAATGCACGAAATTGTATACATTATTTTGTTAGACCTAGTCAATAAGCAGGAGCCTGGCACAAGATGAGCTGAGCATAGTTTGGCCTAGTTTATGTCAAGGAAAGGTCATAGGACTCGATTATCGGACTTAAGTTGGATGGTTAAATCTCAAACCCACCCAAGGATATAAACTTTTGCGAGCTCGCCTAAACAAAATATTCTAGTTTTCTATGAAAATGATGGATTTAAGGAAAGGGAAATATTTCTCAAAGCACTAGAGACACGGGAGTGACAAAACTAAAGGTTAAGTGTTGGCAATGAGAATGTAGATCGGCCTAGCAATGAGATATTGTCAAGAACAGATAGCATCAAATCTAACAAGCTAATGACCATTAAGACCAACACAGAGAAGCCATTATAAATTATTAGATTCATAAGTGTTTCAAAATTGAGTATAATAGAGATTGAATAGAGTGTAGGAGTGACTAGGAGTTAGTGAGATCTAGCTAAATGAGCAAGGGTAGCATAGAATAAGCAAGAACCAAAAAATAAGAGGTGAGAATTGTATGGAGGACGTTAGATCGATAAAGAAAAGCATGAATAAGAGATTGGATTGTGTGAGGACCAAAACTAAATAATCTCACGTGGGCACACAACGTGAGGAAGAGTTGCAGAGAGTGATTTCATATTTAGGGAATTCAGGTTATAAATTTATACATCTACGATTAAGCCAAACACTCGAAGTAGCTCGAGTTCTAAGGGACTGAACATTATCATTCTAAAAGACCTTAAGGATCATAATTTTGAAGCCCAACTGCAACAATGTTGCATCAATTCTTTATTTATTATTTTTGTCAATTTTTGGTCGGATCTACCCTACAAGACTAGGAAATTTCATATTACTGATTGTACTACAAATATAGATATTGTTGTAGGTTTAATTCAGCATATTCACCCCTCTAACAATGTGCACAATCTTTTTTCTCTGACATGGTATCAGAGTTGATAGAGGTAGAAGAATTTGTAGTGAATGTAACTTGGTGGAAGAGGTATAAAAGAAAGGTGTGTTAGCTGTAGCAAAGGCCAAACTTAACAAGATCTTCTAAGCTTTGTTAAACACATAGATGTCCTTAAATAGACATGCAATTCTCCCCCTGAGTAACAAAATCATATATATATATATATATATATATATATATATATATATATATATTGGAGTAACACATCATATGGTTGCTCTATATAATGTACCTAATTAAAATCATCATAATTGTAGGCATTATGCATTATGTATATCCATTAACAGCAGAGACCATCCTTAATTGATAGCAAAATATAAGAGAATTATAAGTGTTAATCATCAAATTCCATCTTGTTGTCTCGATCAATTGGCATAAAACCCAGTTGCTTGCAACAGGATTTACAAAAGTCTACGTTATAAGCTACTTTGATACTTTCTCCTTAGACAGTGTGAAAGCTAGGTAGAGGACATCCAAGGACACTAAATAACCACTAAAAAATGATCCTCTATGTTGATGCCATCTTACATAGAGTAATCAAAAAGATATGTCCAAGACAAAACATGACTTGCAAAGTGTTTTCTCACTACAAACTTAGGACAAAACAGATACTTTCATAATAGTTAAATTTTCCTACAAAAACGAGTCTCTCAATTTCTCAAAGGAAATCTATTATTTAACTTTTTGAACAGCTTGTTCTTACTGTTTGAAAATCCATTAAATGCCGCTACAAACATTCAGATTACTTCAGATATCAAGGAATTCTTTGATATTGAAGATTGATAGGCAAATTGATTTATTTTCTATTAATAGGCCCAATATTTCATTCATTGTTGAAGTTTTGAACCAAAGCATTAAAACACCAAATCAATAGCATTAGACAGTTGTTAGGTGCATCCAAAAAGTCATCTAGAAAAGGATTATCATATACTAACAATGGACTTTTAAATGTGAAAAGTTTTTCAGATGTCGATTATATTGACTTGTTGAAGAAAAAAATTTCAACTTCTAGCTATTTCTATTTTTTGGAAGTAATCTAATTATATGAAAAAGTAAGAAACATACTACAGTGGTAAGATTCAATGCTTAGGCTAAATATAGAGTTATGACCAATTATGCACATAAAATGATGTAGGTAATGACTCTCTTAAGAGAGTTTGGTTTTCCCATTAAAAAAACTATAGTTCTAAAGGTTGATAATCATGTTGTCAATTACATTGCCAAGAACCATGTGTTCCATGAAATAACCAATTACCAAATATAATAAAGTAAATTATCAATTTATTTGAGATGTTCTACTTCTTAAGAAAATTATCACTTCTCATGTCTCCAATTCAAATTTTGGGACATTCTTTCTTTCTCTGACTTATGTAACAAGTTTGAATTAATTGATATATATGCATCATTTTAAGGGGGGTGTTAGTATAGAAAACAGTATATTAGGAAGGTTCTCCATATATAGTGAGTGATTTAGGTTTATTTTATGGTACATTGGCTCATTGTACTCATCATCATATTATAATAAGAGATTTTATAGCGAATAATACAAAAAAACTTACTTCTATAACATAGCAAAATGAAATTAGGCTTGATTGACTTGTTGAGTTATCTACCTATTGAGAAAGTCTATATTGTATGGTATATACTCACAAGAGTAAGAAATTTTGCTTTTTTGTGTGGGCTCCTTTGCGTGGGATGATAGGTACCTGCATTAAGATGTTGTTGTTTGCAGATGCAAGACTAAAATATTTTGAATAATTCACCATACTCAAATATCCCTTACTAACAAACTACCAAATATTTTTAACCTTTAAAAGCTATTATCATCACTATCATCAATTGAAGATATGAATAAAACTTAATTCTTAAGTTTTGAATTCATCTAATTAATCCCCCAAGAAATATTAATACTTAACAAATATAGGCTCACACATCACAAAATTACAATGAAAGTTAACCTCATCCTACCTCCATTATGTCACTTGCAACCACACTCAACCCTTCTGCATAAAAACAACCAGACCATAAAAGGGGCTTTGTTTATCAAAGCCCAAAATAACGAACATGGCAACCCCTCTTAATGCATGGTTCTTATACTATTTTATAATTGCCATGCGTTTGGGCAATTGCATTTCGTTATAATGTCTATAGTCTCAAAAGAAGAAAAAGATAACCCACAAAAATTTACATCAACATGTTTTTTATTATCTCTTTTAAAGGTTACGTACAAAATCCAAATTCTACTATAGTGCAATCAGTATACTCATGCTCATATTTATGGACCATAAAAATCAAGAGTCATAATGCTCAACATCATAAGATATGAACATAGCATTTTGTTAGTATGTTAAGTCAACTTTATACGACGGGCACTTAACATGTCACATCATGAAGAAATAACAACTCTTAGAAACCATAATAGTTGTGCAGAGGCGTCTATAGTCCTCTAAGCAACAATGGTATGGTCACAACTCCCATAGGTCTGGGCAATTGCAATTTTTGGAGCGTTAATAGGAACTTTGGGGAAAGAGCATCAAAACCCATTTATAATTACAATTGCATAAACCAAGGAACCATGTCATAAACATCTAGCACAAGATTTTACAGCACTACATAACCTCTACGCTTAAAAGAAATGGAAAAAAGTAGATAGAGCCACATAAAAAGGCTAATACACGCAACTTGACTTGCAACTTAAAGTTAATTGAACAAAAAATTTCATTCCTAAGGATATGCCTATATGCAATGTCGATGTTAGAATTTGATTAAAGCTTACACTTGAGGGCTTGTTGTACCATCAAACTTGCATGAAATCTTGTATTTAATTAACAATCCATCTATATAGACCATAGTCAACATTTCTTAACTTTCCAAATTAAAAATAGCTCTAAATCTCATGGCAACATGTAGCTATAGGCAATTATTATCACAAATCAAGGTCACAAAACATTGTCAAAAAATACAAACTCAAATTAGATTATAGCTCAAAATAAGAAACATGTATGGTTCATGAAGTTCAGGACTAGGTGCAATTTATAAAAATAAATGAGTGAAAACTATAAGAGGCCAAGTTTTCTTACAACAATCATTTTTATGAATTAGTTTTGGTAGCAAGACCTGCAATGCTTTATGGTGCGAAATGTTGGCCATTAGAAGATAAGCATAATATTAAGTTAAGTGTTGCAGTGATGAGAATGTTCAGGTGGATGAGTGGCTTTACTCTTAGAGACAAGATACGAAATGAGCATATACGTGAAAAGGTTGCAGTAGTAACAGTAGTTCCAATGGAAGAAAAGATTAGAGAGAGTCGTTTTAGATAGTTTGTTCACATAAAACGGCGGCCTTCCGATGACACGGTTAGGAAAGTAGATGTATAATATTTGGCTTATGTTAAGGTAGAGGTAGACCTAAAAAGACTTGGTTAGAAAATATTACAAATGACCTTTCTTTTTTAAATTTAAATGAGAATTTAACTCTTAAGAGGACACAATGGAGAAAAACGATTCATGCAGCTGGATAAAGGCGTGATGTTATTGTTGTTGTTGTAGTAGTAGTTTTGGTAGCAAGGCTTGTTATCTACTAGAATGGCTTTTCATTTAGGTTTTATCCTAACGCCTTGAAGACTATTAGAAACACATATAAAAGAGAATTTCCAATAACTTAGATTTAAATAACTTCAAAGCAATTATAAATGATAAGCTCATATCAAAATTAAACTAACATTACTACATAAACAAGAAAACAAACATCACAATTCTGTTGCAAATAGTGGCAATCATTCAGATAAAGAAAGCTACAACAACTGAAACAAGATGATCCATAATAAGTGGGCATGATGTAGGTTTAGTTGCTTTCCTTGATGCAGATAATTTCTAAATGTTAATAACTGGCAACCTAACAAAAGTAAATGTACAATGAAAAAAAAATACTACTTACGTAATGCTGACATCATATGTACGTGTCCTAAGAATGTTGTCATCCTCAGGCTCATGTGTGACGAAATATGATGGCTGAAGTGTGGCCTGCGATCAAGGGTATAAGCAGGTTTCCCATCATAGTACTGAAAACTAAAAGCATAATATTCGCATTGATGAACAATAGATTAGCAAGTGATGTTAGCTCAAGGTTTAAAGATGTAAGCAAATACATATTGATAGCGAACCATCACAACTTCTATGTTAGAATTCATGATATAACTCTTTACTATCATTGTTATGAAGTTTATCTCATGTCATAGTATATGGTTGTGTTGTTATTTAATGCACCTATCTGTCTTTATTATCAATTGTCAAGGACAATAGAGCCTTATGTAACCTAATGATATATTTGGTATTTTGCTTAATGATTAAGGGCCATGCTATCTTATCTTTGGGTATCATTTCAAATAAATAAAGGCCCAAGGGTCATGTAATAGTCAGATATATTGGATTTTAAATTATGATGCTTTGAATGGCTTCCTTCCCCTCCTAAGTTATCCACCAAACTTTTCCTCTTCCTTTCTACTCTTCCCTTCCTCTCTTTTACTCTTGGTTCAAGGCCAATTCCACTTCTTCTCCCATTTTTTCAAGGATTTTGTAGGTATGTTGATATCATGTCAGATGGCCATATGCTTCCAAATGTTTATATAGTCTAACTAAATGCATCCGCAAGACAACGACTCAAAAGATTTACTTGCAGTGAAATTGCCCCTACACAATTCAATCCAGCGACAAACCAAAAGTATTTGAAAAGGGGAGAATATGCAAGTTATGTTACCACATGTTGAAAATTTTGAAACCAGCATTACAATTCTATGCAGATCAAGAAAATGCCTCGAGAAAAATTATAATACTTTGAAGATAGAAAAGAAAGTAAAGGATAGAGACAACTAACCGGATCCGTTTCCACCAGATTTTCAGTGTCTTCAAAGTCGGCCATGTCAGGTATATCTTCCTCCTCTTCACCTCCTAAATAAGAGGAAATAGGCTTAATACCTCTGCACTTATTAATCTCCAAGGTCTCCATAGAAGGCAAGTTCTCCTCTTCAGCGGAATTAGTCTCTAGGACGTATAACAGAATTTCAAATTAATAAAGGAGCAATGCATGTCTTACAAACCTCTATCTGATCAAGATGAAAAGTAAGCAATTACTCACCTTTCGGCCTTCCATGAGTGGCAAGCCAGCCATTATTATCATCGTTATCAATGAGAAACTCCCCTCCAGCTGCCTCATACTCTTCTTCCACTGACGCAGCCCTCCTCAAACAAGGCACTGAAAATAAACTTCTTTTCAATAAAATCAACCTAAATATCCGATAAAGAAAACAAATCTCTAGGATAAATTGCTTGAGAAATAGGATATCAAATTGGGAAACCATTTCTTGTGATTAGATATTGTTTGTCGGCTGGCAAGTAAGATTTCCTCTTGCTCGGCTCTCCCGCTTCCCTGTCCAAATTCACAGGCAGATGTACCATCAAAAAAAGTCAAAACCAGAATGCAGATGGAAGAGGACCTGGCATGGAGGAGGGTTTGTCAGATTTGGGGATAGGATTAGAGCTAACCAGGACCAGGTGGGACACTTGGCAACAAGGTTGTCACCGGCGATAACGAACTCGGAAACGCTGAGGACGCCCTTTTCTTTGAAGGCGGAAACGGTGCGCGGGGCAGTAATTCTCTCTACAGTGCCTTTGAAGGCCTCGTGGAGTTTTTGAGTGAGCACCATTTCTTCCTTGATTCGCAGGGAAGATCGATTTCAAAAGAATCAGAGAGAGGATCGAATTAGGGTTTGAAATAGATCGGAAAGCAGCAAGATTTGGAATGCCAGAGCACGAAAGATGCTGCCTCTTCTTCTCTGGCGTGACGGGAATTTAGACAGAAACCATAAGACGCCGTCAGATTTATTGAAATCCAATAATAGGAAATACATATTGTTAGAATGTAATTATTGAAATTATATCATGATTAGTGTAATAATTAGTTAATATATTTTAAAATTACATTATAAACTTGCATTACATTTTTTATGAAAGTATGTGTACATAAATTTTACTTTTAAAGTTAGGGTATATTAAATGTAATGACTAAAAAAATAAAAATATTTAATTGTAAGAAAAAATAAATTCATAAAAATTAAAATTTTCATCCAATCAAATATAAATTTTAATGAAATGTAAAGACCTTAAAATATTCAAATATTTAAATAAAAATTTTTAGTAGTTCGCTTTAAGATTTAAAATAAAAATGATGTGATTTTGGCAATATAAATCCAATGATTACAAGAATGTATTAATTCGAATTGAAATAATGATAAATTGATCTGTGAAAAATCAAAGTAAAAATAGCACAAAATTATATAGGTTTAAACAGATCACAAATGTGTATGATTACAATCAAAAAATCGGGTTTTTGCAAATCAATAAATTTATAATCAATTAAGATTTTGAGATATCCTATATATAAAATCAATAAATTGGTTGCCAACTGATAATAACGATTGCCATCATCATCATATGATGCTCATCGTCTTAGTAATCAATATCCCCTTTATTTATAAAACAAAGATTAATATGAATGCCCAAAATTCTCCAAACATGTGATATTATTTATCTATCATCGCCTAAAAGTTACCAATGAGCAACATTTGACACTCATGGATCATCTAATTTCTTGTCATATCAAAATATCAATCAAGTAAAATTTGGATCTCAGCCCAACTTTCAACATTTCTCATTGACAATTATATGATACCCACTAAAGATCTATCCAACATCTAATCCCTAATAGCCACCAAAATCCGATGCTCGTATCATTTGATTACTTAACCTTCCTCTCTTATTAAAAGAATGATCAATTTAATCGAAGATCATTGCTTAACCGTTAATGTTTCTTGTCAACTGCCACCTAATGTCTATCAACCATCAGTGTTTGTGATGGTTTTTTTGGTTGCCTAATTTCCCTTCTTATCATAAATATGACCAAGCTAACTACATACTATTGCTCAACATTCAACAATAAGCTTTCAAAGCACATCTTATTCGTTGCTCAGTATATGATTCTATTAAGACAACAACTAGGTATATTGTGAAGTGTTTGTCCAACCTTCTTTATTAAATGTCAACTAGGGCTTTGATGACTACAATAATTGACATCAATTTTTGACTAATTATCACATTTTGGATCTATTAGACACCATTTTTTTTTCTTGGTTGCTTGACCCCAAATTAAGCCGATCATCAATCATCACCTAATGACAACTTAGACATCTCAATACTCTTTTTATTATCTTCTTAAGGGAAATCTTCTAGGACTAATATCTTCAATTTGATGCTCTCAACTAACTCATATACATAAGATTTTCATACAACGTAAAGAAAATAAATTATCATCTACCCCCACAAATATCAAAGCATCTAATAAACTATAATCCCAAACATATTTGAAAATTTATGAACCCATTATATAAGTTTTGAAAAATTTAAAACAAATCATTCTTTTTAATTTGATAAATTTGTTGTATTACCCCAAAATTCTAAAGAAATAGAAAATAATCTCAAACAACTTAGTTTCATGTAATTAAGATGGGACATAAACTCCAAAAAAAAGATTCAAATTCAAATATATTATTTTTCACACAAATGAATAATAATAAAAAAAAGCTTTCCCATTTCTTGTTGGGCTTGATAAAATAAAATAGCTTATAATTAATGGGCTGCAAAAGGTCCATAAAGAATAAAAAAAAGATTATTACACAAATAAGTGTTGTGTTAGCTATTATTTTTTAAGCATTTGCTAAACATAAAAAAAATGATAATGATAGAAATGGTTAATTTGAAATAAATTATTTAAATATGTGTTGGTCATTCAAAATTATAGGTTTTTTTTTTCATATATGGCCACCTAATGTGCTAGCTCATTTTTTACTATAAAACTCATTAAATAATGTATGCTCTATTTTATGAATATTTATTACGAACATAAGAAAATGATGCCATTGTTATAAAAAAATTAAATTATAAAATGTATAATCTTCCTATTTACATATATACCTAATGAGCTCTTATATATTTATGTATATGTATGTATGTATGTATGTATGTGTGTTCATGTATGTATGTATGTGTGTTCATGATTTCCTTTAGGAGTCTCATGATTGGATATATGTTCATGTTTTATCTTAAATTTTGAAGGAATAAAAGCTCAACCAAATTACCAAAAGAAATTTTCTTTAGTGATTGCTTTATGCTTTCTCTAGTTTGTAATCAATAGCCTTTAAAATTTATTGTTCTAAGCCTGATTAGTTATCATTTATTGGTTGTAAGTTCACCTAAACTTTGTACTATAATGTATATTATAGCAATATTGCCTTTTTTTATCGACTTGTAGCTTTGCTTCTTCTTCTTTTTCCTTTGTGATGCTTCATTATTGGTTGGCATCACATGGCACATTTTAGTTTGTTAAAATTCGAATGTAACACAACAATAACTATAATAACAATAAGCCTTTGTCCCACTACGTGAGATCGAATACATGAATCATTTTTTCTTTATTGTGTCATGTTAAAAGTCAAATTCTTGGTTAAATCTAATAAAGAAAGATCATTTCTAATATTTTCAAACCAAGTCTTTTTAGTTCTACCTCTATCTTTCTTAACATAAGTCAAATATAATACCTCTACTTTTTTACTGCTTCGTTTGGGACGGTTTTCTTACTGCTTCTTAAAGCAGCTTTCTAGTATACTAAAAAGCTGTTTTAAAAAAGCAATAAAAAAGCCATCTCAAATGAAGCATAGGCTTTAGCGCGCGATGTTGTGACTTGTGAATGCTCAAACGAGATAGCTGAGGATTAGAAATCTCTGTGATAAGCGTCGTTACCACATTTCATGCAACTTCTTTCTTCACTTTTGATTGATCCATTGGTAGTAAAGCTACACGACAAGCTCCCTCAAACAAAAAGAGATAATGTTTTTTTTTTTTTAATTAATAAGTTTTAGATACAGCAAGCAATCTATGGTTATAATAGGAATGAGATAGAAAAAAGAACCCTATGCTTGAAAATAAACAAAGTTTAAATAACAAATTTGGTATTCAATCATTTTTCAGACAAAAATCAAACATTTATTTCAAACCTAGAGTTTGACCATTAGATGCAAAACAATATTTAGAGAAAACCTCAAATAAGGTTTGAACCTCATTGTTATATGATTTAGGCTTTGTTTGTGACAGATTTCTTACTGCTTCTTAAAGCAGTTTTCTAGTACAAAAATTTTAGAATGTTGATTTAAGAAACAGTAAAAAAGCCATCTCAGGCTTCGTTTGGAACAGTTTTCGTGCTGCTTCTTAAAACGGCTTTCTAGTATAAAATTTTCTAATTTAAGAAATTTTTGTACTAGAAAACTGTTTTAGAAAGCAACAAAAAAGTTGTCTCAAACAAAACCTTAATCTCATTTGAACGTGATTTGAACAAGCCTCTTTGTGCTTTCACATTTATGTATATATAAACATAATCATGGACATAGGATTCGATTAGAAGAGGTTGATACAAAATAAATAATAAATATATATACTCAATGTGAAAAAAATAATGGAAATTATGCATCCATTAATCATATTTTTAATTAGTTTTTTTTTTCTTCTCAAGTATCTCTATTGTTTTGTTTATATCAACATCCTCTTAGTTTAACCCATCTTCATGATTATGTTTATCGATCTATTTCTTTTGAAAAAGATTTAAACATAGTTTAAACATTATTTATTTGTGAACCTAAAATTTATATAATGTTATTGATTTGTTCAATATAATGTATTTAGGTGTTATTAATTTTTATGGTACATGTTATAATGGTGATTGGTTTTATGTTATATTGCAATTCTTATCACTTTGGCAATCTTTTTTTTTTTGAACTCCAATAGATTCGGACTCTTTTAACATATCTGTGGCATGAGGTTGTTAATGAAACATTGTTTGAACAAAATAAAATCAAGATTTAGAGAATATTTGGACCCAATTCAAATCCTATTCAAATAAGCTTTGAATAATATTCGAATCATATTTAAACTCTATTTGAATCATGTTCAGTGCAATTGTAATAGTTATAATAAAGTAGTATATCATATTATAATCATTATAACTATAACACAATAGAATACAACTATGAGACAATAAAGCTCAATCACAATTACAATACAACAACATCAAGCCTTTATCCCACTATGTGGGGTCGGCTACATTAATCTTTTTTCTCCATTGTGTCATGTTAAGAGTCAAATTCTCGTTTAAATCTAATAAAAAAATATCAATTTTAATATTTTATAACCTAGTCTTTTAAGGTCTACTTAATACATCTACTCTTCTAACCCGATCATCAGAAGGTCGATGTTTTATGTGACGAAACTATCTAAGGCGACTCTTTCTAATTTTATCTGCCACTGGAGCTAATTCAACCTTTTCACATATATGCTTGTTTCGCATTCTATCTCTAAGAGTAAAGTCACTCATCCACATGCACACCATCATCTCTTAACTTAATTGTATGCTTCTCTTTTAATAACCAATTACATTATACATCATAAAGCATAGCAGGTCTCAACACCATCCTATAGAATTTCCCCTTAAGTTAGAGGGGTACTCTTCTATCACACAATAGGCTCAATGCATTCATCCACTTCAACCATCCAACTTGAATTCTAATAATAATATCATCATCTATTTCAGCATCACTCTAGACAATATACCTGAGAACGTGTACTCTTATTAGTGACTTGATCGTCCAAAATTAGTCCCTCCATTAGATCTATTACTATTAAAATTACACTCAATATCTTCTGTTTAAGATCACAATTACAATAACATAAGAAAATTAAAAATTTTCCTCCTATGTCCCAACTAAGAACCATATATA